GGTGGCAATCTGTCGTCAATGCGTTTAACAGATCAACCCGATTTTTGTCGTAAACAGATCTCTGGTACGGTTTTGCGGACTGTTTGGTCACATTATTGCTAAAAACAGATCTGCTTGCAATCGACCATCTATTTGTTGTCAATTTCACTGACATATACACATATGGAATCGTTTTGACCGCAATACTCTCATGTATATTGCCAACAAAGTTGTTGCGTTTTTTCTTTTTGTGTGCTAACAGTTTTGGCAGTGTTTCCGTATTGTAGCATTTCTGCAAACAATTTCTGTTGCCAAGGTCTGAGCCGAAATTGTCAAAAACAGAAATTGTTTGCTGGGAAGCAATATTCAATTTCCTTGGATTGATGTTACGTTAGATGCGCTCCCAGAAACGCCGGAGGACATTGCGATCAAACAGCTGGCTCGCTACTTGGAGGCGCAGCATCTCCAGCATCTCCAGCAGCGTCTTCATCGCTCGCATTTACCCACGTTTCTCTCACCGATGCAGTTCAAGGAGCACAACACTTTGCAGCAGGCTCAACAGAAAGTTCTGGAGGCTCTGACCGACAAGACCGTTCTGGAAAATTTGCTGACGAAACAAAAAGAAAAATTATTGATGCATCACCATCGTCCGAACCAATATCACGACGCAATGGTAAACAAAATCGCGGAACGGGAATCGGGATATTTCCCGTATCATTACAACGTCGGCGGAATTCGGCATCCGAGTTATTCCGAAGAGGTACAGTCGAACGAGGGCGTCGACCGTTTCTCCAAGGATTTCGGATACAGACCGTCTTTTGAGATGGACGACGATGGGAGCATCGCGGAGGAGGAACCTATCGAGGACTCTTATCACGCGAAGTATGACAATTACAATCACGCAACGGGCGCATTCGGTCATCACGAGAGTGGAAAAGAAGCGGCCATGAAAGCGGCAATCGTGCCGGATTTCGTTTACAAATTTGACAATTCGAATCTAAACGAGAAACATCCGTTCGCGGTAAAACCGAACGATCCCAGATATTACAGCGATTTGCCGTTTTCGTCGGGTAAACATCTTGTTGAGTATTCTTTTCATTGGTTTTTTTTCTTTTCTCTCGAATTAGAACAGAAGAGTGGCTAAAAATACTTGCAACTTGTTTAAATAATTATTTCTTAAACGTAGATATTTTGTTTTTAGTTTTTTATTCTCGCAAAGCTTTGTTGGAGTTTTATCGATTTTTAATTCGGAAAGAAAGATACTGTCTCCGAAAATCGTGAGAAAGAATTTAAACAAGTTAGGCGTTCTCGGGCTTATTATTAATTCTTCTTTTTATTAAAAAACTTTCCTGATTTATACAATCTTGCTCTGATCTGCTCGATTTAACTTAGTTCTTAGTCGGTTGAATTTTCACGATCTTTTTTCTTAATGGCAAACAAATTTCAATTAAACTCACGTTTGAAAATCGATTCAGACGTGCCGATGAAAGCCAATTGGAAGGAGGAAAAGACGGCGGACGAGGAACGCATGTTAATAACGCGCGAGGAAGACATGCGAAGTCTTAATCAAAAGATTCCTAAAGACTTGACCAACAAATTGGAACCGGAAAGATCATCCGCGATCGAGGCGGGGCTTCGCCCGTTGATTCTGCCTGTGCATCGCGACATGGACAATGACGTTTACTTCATTGGTAAATAAAATAAAAGATTTTATTAAAAAAAGTTCGACATCTCGATAATATATACTTTTACATGTATTTTCAGCTATTGTCGCCGGTTGCAGTGCGGCAGCTATGTTCGCTCTTGTACTAGTCACCCTAACATGGTGCAGGTAGTGTTAATTATTTTAATTCATCGCGCGCATACTACAATTTGTAATTTTAATTTGTGTAATTCACAACGGCGCATTTTACGTTGCCGAGGATCTTCTCTTTTAGGCTACTACGCGGTGCCAAGGCCGCGGCAGATATAGAATATCCCGCTTATGGCGTGACGGGACCAAATAAGGACGTCTCGCCTTCTGGCGATCAGAGACTCGCCCAGTCCGCCCAGATGTATCACTTTCAACATCAGAAACAACAAATAATCGCCATGGAAAAGTGAGTCTTTATCGTGCATGTCTTGATCCAACAGTCTTACAAAAAAAAAAAAAAAAA